TCACCGTAAGACAACTGTTCTGTATTCAAGTTTTAGGTCTGTATCGTCAAACCAAACAAGAGCCTAAAAAATCCCCATGAGTGCAACTGGAGTACTGTTTCATTCCCGTGTCAGCGAATAAAGTTTATACAAATTTGGTCAAGTGTGTTTTGTTAAAACAAAATTATTACATTTGTGTAATAAATAAAGTGGATTTTTTTTTTTTACTGGTACAATAAAGTACTACGTTTTTTAAACTTGTTTCAACATCATCGATGAGTGGTGCTGTATAACTCAAGTGTGCAGTGCAAAACACATACAAATGCTACTTTTGAGACATTTTAAAAAGAAAAAAATATATAACTTATAACATGAATTGTAGGTCCTAGGAAACATGCTCGGAATAAGATCAAATAAGTCCCAAACTTTTGAAGACAGTTCACTGAAATTTGATTCAGAGATTCAGAGTTTCTTTACTGTCTGGAACAAAATTATGTACACAGGGTCCCAGTTACATCCAACAACAAAATGTAAAAGAAAAACAGTAATAAGATCTAAGATATGAACTAAGAAAAACATAAACTAAATAGCATAAAAACAATAAACACAATACACCGAACAGCAGCACGAACATGAGTCTGCGTGAGCAGACGAGCATGAACGAACACAGCAACATGAAAACAGATCAACAGCAGCATGATGTGATTTATTTTTTGCATAGCCAAGCTACATTCCAAAATTCTATCTCCACACAACTCCATTTTTTAAATTTATATTTTAAGGCATGACACATCTTAAATGGCTTGTGTAGCATCAAAGCAAATCTGTTAAACTGACTCAGAGAATTAAAACTTTCTGAGCCAATATTGAAAAAAAAAACTTAAGGCAGTGCTGTCTGAAACTTTTGACTTCATTTGTCATGTGACTGTTTTAGTATATTTACCGACACAAGGTTATGAATTGGGCGGCACTGTGGCTCAATTCGTAGAGCTGTTGCCTCTCAGTGAGAAGGTTGCTGGACTGAATTCTAGTGGAGTTTGCATGTTATTGTCATGTATGAATGGGTTTTCTGCAGGTACAGTAGTCCCTCATTTATCGCGGGGGATCCGTACCCTGAAGCAATGTGAAAAGTGAAAAACTTCGAAGTAGGAATAGTAGTAAGTAGTAAAACGTTTGTAGGCTCAATCATCCAAGTAGATAACAAAAAAAGGTTAAATCATTTCATCTGGACCAGTTTCTTTAAGGGAGAAACGTTTCATCTTCCATCCAGAAGACTTCATCAGTCTGTGGCCTGCC